CTAGATTCGCCCTTGCAATATTAGTTGTATTTTTGTTCTGAAAATAATGTAATAATGAGTTGTGTCTTTCATTGCAATGTCGACAAGAGCCGTGTCTGCATTGATTAACCTCATGACCCTTTTGCAGGCAGTTTGCACAAAGTTTCAAAAATTTTATTTTTTCTTTTTTGATTTTTAGAGGTAAAGCAATAAATTCGTCGCATTTATAAATAGAATGCTGTTTGTTGCAATAGAAACACGAAAACCTGGCTCTATTTTTAACATTTGTTTCTTTATCTTTATCATTTTCAGCTTTTCCAAGCAAACATTTTTCTTTGCCCTTGAATGAGGCATTAGGATTAGAGTTTTTTGGTTTGAATTTGTGCATATTGACTTTATCAAAAAACTCAGCACGAGCTGTCAGAAAAGCTTTAAGTTCAGAAATGGTTGGTAAGTCTCCAACTATTTTATATTGTTCCCAATCATGAATTGTATCCAAATCTAGCTTATTAGTTACCCAATAAATGATTAAAGGATCCCAATTTTCAGTTTTGACATTAATGGCCTCAAGTGACCTTAAGTTTTTTGACAAAGAATCAACAAGGTTCCGAAGCGCTCTAGGAGAGTCTGATTTAAGTTCTGGAATGCTAAAAAGCGATTTGATGTGGTTATGTATCATTAACCTTTTATTATCAAATCTTTCGCACAAAATTTTCCAAGCTAGATCATAGTTATTGCCTGAAATTTCAAGATATTGTACGCATTGAGCAGCAGAACCTTCTAATGAAGCACGTAAGTAATGAAGTTTTTGAACTGGCTCAAGATTGTCAGCATTATGAATTACCGATAAAAATAATTCTTTGAATTCAAGCCAACCTTCGTACCTTCCAGAAAACTTAGGCAACTCTATCGTTGGAAGTTTAACATTGACTAATTTGGAAGCATTAGAGGAAGTAGAAAGGTTTGGTAACGTACTAGCATTTGGTGAGGAAGTGGGGGTTTTTGAAGCATCTAAAATGTATTCTTTTGCTTCGGAAATGGTTTTATAATAGAAATTTTCAAACGAATTTTCCTCGTCATCATTGAATTTCTCAAAATCTATTCCCTCTAAATCAAACTGAACAATATTGTAATCTGATAGTAAACTGCCTTCTAAATCTTTTAATCTTGTATCTAGTTCTATTATTTTGGAGCTACTAAGTTCTGAAGATTTTAAATAATTTAAAAATGAACTAAATTTTCTCAATTTATTATTTAAAATATCTCTTTTCCTTAGAAGATCTCTAGTTTTTTCACTGAAGTCATCAAAATTTGTAGTATTTGTGGTTGACCTTCTTCTAGGCATTTTGACTTATTGAAATTGAATTGTTAGGGTGAATATAGCACCAATGTTAAATAATGTTTTTATACAATTACCTGTCAGCACCTTAATAATAGTTAATTGGACAATCTACTACCTACTAAATTACTAAATACCTAATACAAAATGTCAAAATCCTGTAAGAAATATTCGTATTAAAATGTACAAAAATAATGTATAAAATTCGTCCAAAGTCAATGACTCCGACTTGGCTTTGTATTAAAATTGAGATTTTCCACTAGCAAAAATAAATAAAGATGATGATATACTTATTAATGAATAATGTCTCGTCAAAAATGTTCACTAGTAATGTTAAAATGTTAGTAAATTTATCTAATTTAAGCGCACGACCCTAATGAAGCCTGACTTGGACCCCAAACGTAAAGAAAAAGAGTTGTTGGCAACGGTCGCCACTTCAACTGCACTTGTGCAAATATAAATGTATTTTTTCTGGTGATATTCCACCAAAAGGAGTTTCTGGACAATCGCTTCTGTTCAATGAACGTTTCTGTACTGAAGGTTGCCAGGAATAATGAGGAATAATGTTACCTTTTTTGTTCCTTAGAGCACCTGTCACTGTTTCTTCGTACTGAGCTATACTTCAACACAGTAATGGTACCTCTAATGTGTAACGATACTACGGCGGCGATGGGTCAATAGATCATCCGGCTCGAAGGACCAAATTTATTATGTTGAGACACGAGCTAGTACCAACATACCGCTTTTCCGGTTAAAGCACTAATTGAAGCATGCTTTCGGACATTGCGAATAATTGAACTTGAAAAAGACTGTAAATCACACCGTAGTATATTGAATATTTAATTGTATAGGTAAAAGAAAAAGTTAAGCTGACGTAGCTTCAAAGCTGGAGCCCGTGAACGTAGAAAAATGAAAAAACTGAAGCTTCAAAGACAAAAGGCATAACCTCTCTAGCTTTTGAATCTCTAAGCAACTATTCAACAAAATTTTAATTGTTTTTTCTGGTCCGACTTCTACTGCCGTTGTTCCGCGATGAGTTCGCGCTGATTCCGGAACGCATTATCACGTTCAGTTCCTTCAAGACATGACAGCTCAATCAAAAATAATTATTTGGAAAGAAATGAAAATCAATTCAAAATTACTTTGAAATTCGTTCCAACAATACCTACATCGACTCATGCAGTCATAATAGTCATTTGCAATCATTATAAATTCCGTGCAGTCACATGCAGTGGCGTACATTCCATGTAAACTCGCGAAAAATCGTAAGAAGTCGGTGTGAGTGGAGCCTTCAATCTTGTAAGATATTGCTCAAAAGTCAGTGCAGTCAATTATTGTCTTTGATGCAATTAGAGGTGGGTTGCGATTCCAGGAACTGTGACTTTGTCACTGCTACTCGTCTGTCACAGTCACGGCCTGCTGCAGTCCCAGTCAAGTAGCAGTGACATTTTGTCACTGCCCGCTTCAAGCTCCGACCGATGCAGCGCAGACAAAACTCGAGCTAAGTGATGCAAATGCAATATTATATTATAAATCGCATCGCAGTCCCGCCAAATAGTAACTGCCACCGCAGAGGGCAGGCTGGAAACTGGAACATCTCCCTCGGCCGTGACTGCGGGCTGCGATTATGCCATTTTGAGATGTAGCATTAACATAATATTAGCAGTTCGGCCGCCAACTAAGGTAAAACTGCTCCAAAAAATCACTGCTATTTGTCACAGTGACACAACTGGAGCAGTCACGTCTTGTCACAGCTGCATTAAAATCGCAGGTTGGCCCACTTCTAGATGCAATCAATGCAGTCAAATACAGTAGTTGTGCAAAACTTAGTGGATGAAACACCCCTCAGTTAAATTAAAACCAGTCGCAATCGTATCATGTACACATATCACGCTTACATAAACAGGCTTTATTGATTCATTATTTATTAATAAAATCATTGAAATTATTCGTACAATAAAGCCTTATTTTATGCACTTGTTACATAAATAGCTATGACATTTTTTTCTCTATACCCTTATTAAACTTGAAGCTCATTACAAGACGCTTTAAGTATGTGGAGCCAGTTGAATTTAAATATACAGGGGCACATAGTGCGATATTGGACGATATCTCCTTACAGGGTGATGCAAGAAAAAGAATTTAAATTACAAAGTTGTTTGATACTCTAATATGCATTAGCTAAAAATATTTTTGAATATACAGGGTGCTAAGTTTATGGGGTATGTGACAGAACTTTATTATTTTTAATGAAACACCCTGTATGTGATTACATATTTGGATTCTACGTGAAATTCTGAGCAGATTTCATATAATATACCCTATACCTAAGTTCAACTGTTTTGGAAATATTGACAGTTAAAAATTGACTTTTTGCAACTTTGACAGGCTGTAAAACCTAAACGGTTAATTTTAGACGAAAACCGATTTTACATTCCTATCTTAGATTTGTACAAACTATCATTTGACACCAACTTTGAATTTAATCCATGATTAAAAATTTCAGTTAAATTTAATCTCCGGTGAAAGGCTGACGACATTGCTAAAGTAGATAGAGCATAGGTACCGGGTGTTTTTATATCTTTGATATCATTTTGATCACCTGTAACTTTTTTGTTTTTGACGTTATAAAGGTAAACAAAAAAACAAAAGGTAGGGTTAGTAGCCAAGTTTTTTTTTAAGTTACTCATAAAACAAAACACTATTCATTTTTTGACAAATAGGCCTACATTATATTTTTTCAAATGGAACACCCTGTATATTATATGTGTGTTCGATAGAATATCTTATTCTGATTAAAAAGATATAACACACTTCATATTTTGGTCCACTCGTTTTTGACAAATCGGCAAAAATATAAAACTTTCGAAGTGAAACTTATTAGGCGGGGGTCAGATATTTGGGACGAGAATTATTGAGAGTGCATATAAAAATTTCATATATTTTCGCTGATTTGTCAAAAACGAGTGGACCAAAATATGAAGTGTGTTATATCATTGTAATCAGAATAAGATATTCTATCGAACACACATATAATATACAGGGTGTTCCATTTAAAAAAATATAATGTAGGGTTACATGTCAAAAAATTGATAGTGTTTTGTTTTATGTGTAACTTGAAAAAAAAAACTTGGCTACTAACCCAACATTTCGTTTTTTTGTTTACCTTGATATCATTAAAAACAAAAAAGTTACAGGTGAATAAAATGATATCAAAGATAAAAAAACACCCGGTACATATTTCATGGTCCTATTGAGTTATTAGGTAACGGCCCATTTAAACTGAGAAGAGCTGAAGCAATATGTATTCATAAAAAATATAAGATAGAGCATTAGATTAGAAGACAAAATAGTTATAATATTTAGCTCGGTAATTAGTAAAATCTGTTTTTTTTTTTAAAGATAATTCCCCAAGTCAAAAATTTAGTAACTATGTTGGCAACACAAGCCTTTTCTACATAAAAAATTTGAAAGCATTGACAATTTTACATTGTATTGCCTTGCAATCGCATATATTCCTATGTATTTTCATGTACTCCGATGTATTATCTTGTAGTCATATGTATTTATGTATTTCTATGTTTTCCCTTGTACTCCATTTAGTGTATAAATTTGGCTGGCGGTTCACCCCTCGATTTTTTATATTATCAAATATTTGAAAATAAATTACAATTATTGTCAGGTATGGTTCGTTATTGGCCAGAAATAACCCAGGGTCACTGTTCAGTGGACCAACGAGTGGATCTGAACGGTCAAGAATGTGACAGTTTGGTTGAAGTCGGTAGTCTGGGTTGCGTCTTTGTCACAACCACTTGTACCCTTGTGTTGGTACAGTACAAACCAGGAAATTACGAACATCAGCTCTTCTGTCGGACTCTGAAATCTGGAAGTGGTTGGTTGGGTGGGATCGGTCGACGAGTTTCTTCAATATTTTTTGGACCCATGAATAGTGATCAAGGGAGTGATATGGTAATTAATACAGCAATACGAGGCTACTATATTACAAACAAATATTATATTTTTTTTAGAAAATAATACGCCTTCTTGCCATTCCTGGTATCCAACAAATGTATAGCGTCTACGTTCTGGCAGGTTTAAATTTTCAAAAATGGGCTCTTTCCAATAATGAGCCTGAGGAATTGAAATTCACAATAGACTTATCGAGGCAGATTAAAGACGCTTTTCAACTTAACGTTTCTCTTTTGGAAGTTTGTGATCACTCTGATATCGATGCTTGGATTTTAGATATCCAGCCAGAACATGAAGGAGTTTTGATTTTATGCGCTGCTGTGAATTTGCAAATGTCTCCTCAGGTAATTTAATTTTGTGAATTATTTGATTGCACCTATGTAGCATAATTTTTTTTCAATAGGTCTACTACGGAATGGCAGTGATACCGACGAAAAATCCAAACCTACAAACACTATTAAAAGACTTTATGCTACTAAAAATTTCAGACTTTTACAGGGACAATAATCCCGGAGATGCTTTGAACTTGAGATTTATCATTAGCGGCCCTAACGCTTATATTTATGGCCCTCAAAAAATTATCACTATTAAGCCTGAAGCAGAACCAGATACTTTGGAGTTTTGGAATGATTCTGACTATATTTTCAGTAAGTAGCTAGGAATTTTGAGAGAATATTCCTCACTGGAAATTATGCAAAACAGCAAAACCTTTCATTTTTGTTAACAAATTAATGTCAACTTCTATATATTACTAAAGTTTTTCTGGGTCAAAAAGAGGAAATTTGGGAATTTATCCTAGTAAAATAATGATTGGCTCCCTTGTATTTAACAATTATTCAGGCTATATCTTGTGAAGCATTTCCATTGGATATTTTCAAAAAATTGTAATATTACTATTGAAAATCGTTTGTATTTTAGGTGGATGTATATTTCTGAACTTACCAATATTCTTTTCACGTAAACACGGCTTGGTGGCAGTAACTGGAAATGATAGTGACATAAATACAACTCTTGGCACTTCCGTCATGTTGGAAAAAACTATGTCCGAACAAAGTTTGGGTGTTGCAGGAAGTAACAATTTGTCTCTGTATCATTTGGATCCCCATGAAATTTATGATGCCCACAGGGACACGGCGGGCCAGTTGAAAGCAGCTTTTGTGTTTCATGTTAAAAATCAGTTGGTGAGACTATCAGGCTTTTTTGGATGTCAGAAATATTGAGCAAAGCTTTTTTTTAGAGTGAATGCTATGACACGGTAAACAAACTATTTCCTGCTGACTCCCCTTGTTTACCAGGCTTCAACGGTCCTTTGGACACAGCCGTAATTAAAATGGCTAAAGATATTTTAGATGATATTCCTGCTGATGATCCCAGATGGCTCCACAGTGAAATCACTAATAAAGGCCTTGGAAGCTCTCTTGCAATGCTAGTTTTGCACCAGTTATTAGACAAGCAAAAAGCGTACGGATTGTATTTGAAATTTTTAAAAGAATCAGGCCTTTGGACTCAATTATCAGGCATAAATCAAACCAATACGATTTATCTATTAGCAGAATTTGGTGAAAAAATTATAGCCGCCATAGTACTGAAACGACTGCCCATTAGTGCCCTACTCGAAGATGCTCTAGAGCGAGCAGTTAAAACTTATCAAGCACCTTCAGACAACAAAGACCTATCCAGGCAAGACATTTTCTATAGAGAAGTCACCAGGGTGCAGGAAGGTCTTACATGGATAGCCAAAGTTTGTGAGGAAGCTTCTCGCTCTTCTCTAACCCCAGAAGATGTGGCTAAAACTCTACATGAAGGCAACCAAATTATACTCAAAGTCATGAAAGAAGTGATTCAATATCGACAACAAAATGCTGAGGCTTTTGAGTTGAACGAAATTTCTAGGTCAATGCATTTGGAGTATTTGCCTTGGACAGCTGCAAGTGGACCTGGGGGACTTGTAGATGCACTCATGTTACAAGTGAGCTATATTTTTTTAATTATTCATGTAAATTGTATGTAAAGCTTATTCATCTTACCTAAAAATTTGGTATATTCCCAGACCCAGAGCAACTAGCAGTAGTAATATAAGGCTTTAAAATTGAAAAGTTTAGAAAAAATTTGATATAAGCTTTACTATTTATCCTTGCTTTGTACGCTTTCTAGTATTTTATCCAGGCTCAGTCTCTTCATGATATTCAATTGAAAATAAATTGATTTTCCGAACCTTTTCAGCATTCTCTGACTGCAACCTACGGTTTCATAATGACAGCCCAAGCTCAGCTACAAGAAGCCTTAGTGGAAGAGTTCGTCATGTTGGCAGATTTCATATTGGACGGCCAAAAAGCTCATTTGGCCAGCGTGAAATCTGAGCGTGAAAAAATCTTGTTTAAACAGTATTGTTCTGATAGGAATAAACTCATTAAACCACTTAGTAAGTTGTGATTTTCACTTAATTTATTTTGCATTTCAATGGTGGTTCATTTAAATATTACTCTTTTAGTTGAGACTGGCGTAGATTCTTATAAAAACGCAGCAATGCTAGCCGAAAAATACATGGACTTTGATATTTTAATAAGAATATGTGAAAATGGAGATAATGAGGATAGATTGGACGATTACATGAGACGATTCAAAGACACAGGCTTTCCGGACTTTGTCTACAATTGGTACTTGAAAGAAGGAAAACAGGCTAAATTATTGAAAAGATATCGTAAGGTGGGCGGCAATGTGCCAGAAGGCCAAGAAAAATTGGGAAAGTTCCTGTCAGATTATCCCAAGCTAAATTGGATGCAACAAATATTCGATAAAGATTTTGCTTCGGCTTCGGAAACTCTAAAACAATTAGCTGAAGATGAAACTGAGCTTGTTACCAGGCAGAAAACCATGCTTAGTATTAGTAAATTAGCAAAACTTGCTGGTAAGTAATTACAATTGAGTACTTGGACATTTTTGGATTATATTTTTTCTCATATAGCTTCATATTTGGCAAGGATCTTTCTCACAGAAATAAACTCATCTCAAATTTGAACTTGGTTGTGATAATATCAAAAATAAATCCAATTGTTTTTTTTTTAGCCCCAGCTGCCAGTGATACAGTTGACCAAGTAGCTGACATAAATAAGCGCCTCGAATTAATATCTCTTCAAGAAGCAGTTCCTGATTATGTCCTTCAACAATACGGTTTTGATGCCAATAAACCCAGAGTGCTTCCAGCTCGTGATTTAGCCGTTCTCTTCATTTGTCCAGAATTTGTTGATGCCACAGAAATTGATTTTAAAAGAGCCTTAGATGTGGCCTCTTTTGTCGAAGACGAGTCTGAAAAAATTGAATTGACTTTGAAAATTTGGAGGACAGCTCTATTGAGGGATAATTGGGATTTTGCCAATATTGATGATCCTCTTGAATGTATTCAAAATACCTTGTTTTTTAAGATTGTTGATCTTTTTATTGCTTTAGGGCAAGATGCCAGTGATTTATTGCCTTCTATTAATATGCTGCTGGATGATTCTAGTTTGGAAGAATTAAATAAGAATAAAAAGTTTCAGAGTCTTTTGAGGGCCGGTTATGAACATGTTCATCGTACTCAGAAGATTAATAATTAGGTTTTTTAAAATAAATATTTTCTTTTAATAAAAATTTTGTTTTATTTTATTGTAATTTTTTACATTCAAAGATACAAAATTTGGTTTCGTTTCCAAGATTACTGGCGTACGATTTGCCATTGTAATATAAATCTTCATAGCTCACTGTTTTTAAATGGTTGAAATTTAACTTTCTTCCAATTCTTTGCGATTTAAATGTCGTCCAAAGCACAGTAACTATTTGCGGCTTAGGCTCTAAAGGCAGAGGTGTGTTATCTAATGGAGTTTTCACATTTTCACCCTAAAAGATGACAGAACTTCAGTAAATAGTACAATAAGCCTGGGTTAGTTTGGGTTAGTAGATAAAAAAAAAGCCCACTGACCTTAGAAAGCAAATTTGCCAAATCCAATGAAACCTTGCATAGCATATATCCGATACCTTTTTGAGCATAGTCTGGTGAGACACAAAGAAATACCAATTCCATCATACAATCGGCATTGTATGGAGTGAAGGGGTCTGCACCGTCTTCCATGGTTATTAAATAGTTAAAAATTTCTTTACTTTCAGGGTGTTTTGCTTTTTTGATGAATTCTTCATATAATTGCTTTGATGATGTATTTTTGTCCTAGAAGAAAATTATGTGATTAGAGATACTTAATGAATAAAGACATGCAAATTTAAAATGTTTAATAAAAAATAATAGGTATGCTTTTTTCACCTGGATTTTGTTCATAAGTGCTCCAATAACTTTTCCAGATTCCTTATCGATAGCTACAACTGATACTCCATGTTTGGCAGTATCTATGACCACTTCATTGCACTCTGCAATGGCCTCTGGTATTTTTGACAAACCAACGGCCTCGCATACAGTTTCTCTTGTGAAAAAATAGTTTCTTAATAACTGGACGGTTTCATCGAGACGATCTGGTGTTAAGGATACATATTCGATTTTTCCTTAAATAATCTGTTGCTGGATATACTTATTAAAAGAATTGCACTATTCTTACCTTCTTCGCTCGTTGCCCAAACTCTTTTCTCTTTCGACATTTCTTTATTGTAATCTAAATTTCATCTGTAGGTACCAACAAACTGATTAACTCTAGTTTAGCCCGACTTTATTATCCATGTCATTGAATGTGTGATATTTTAAATTAGTAAATTGCATATTATGACCCCAGCAGTTAAATCCAAATTGGCGACTTTTATTATGCATTGATTGTCAGGAAATCACATATTACAGTATGATTGTACAATATAAAATAAATAATACCTACTCATTTTCTACTTAATTTGTTCTTGTTTACAAAGTTACTAGAAAATGTTGATAATTTCATTCAAATATATAAATTAAGTAGAGCAATATAATGACTTGTTTCGCAAAATGTAGGTACTTATATTAATAATGCATTTCTTTGGTTCCTATGGGCTGCTGTTTCAATATTAATATCTTTAGGAAATTAAATATGTATAACGTATTAAATTTCTTCAGGCCTAGAAAATCCAAAATTAGGATGGAGTGATAATGAATTATTTTAAATCCGCATATTTATTTTTATTTATTTATTTATTTATTTCAACGGATACCTATACCATTTACATTTGAACAATTAAGGTTTTTACAATAATTTCATATGAAACTATATCATAGGAATAAACTTAACAAAAACTGTTTCAGTTTTAGTTTAACAACAAACTAGAATTAATTGAGTTTAATGGAAATTAAACTGTCTAAGAGATACATATTCAAAATATAATTTGTTTATTGAACTAGCCATTCTATTCAAAGGTAATTTCATTCACTTCATTCCATAATTAGTTCTATGAAAATCAATAACAATGAAAAATTTCTTGTTGTCCTTTAAGGAACTTCTAGAGAAACCAATTCTAGTAATCTTGGACTATCAACATTGTTATTCATAAGTTTTAATAGAAGTCCAACAAAAATCTTCTATTCTCTAAGGAGTCCATATTTAATAAATTGTGCAAGGAGACATCGGTACCTTTCTCTCTATTTTTCCTAGAATTTCCTTGTATTTAAGATAATGTGGATTCCAGACAGGACTTGCATATTCAATAATAGAACGAATTAAGGAACAGTATAATAACTTAAAACAATAAATGTTGTTAACCTCCTCCAAAGTGTGAGACATAAACCCTAATAATCTTAAACATTATTCATTGTAGCTGTTTCCAATATGAATACCAAATTCAATTTTATGGTCAAAAAATACACCAAGATCCTTGATTCTGTTAACGCTATTAATAATTATATTGTTGAGAGTAATTAAATAATATTGGATTTTGCACTTTAAAAAGTCTCATAACATTATAAACTTGTCTGTGTTTAAAGATAAACAATTATTTGAGCACCATAAATTGAAACATTCAAGATCTTGTTGATTTTTCAACAGTCTGTTATATCATTACCTATTAAAAATAATTTAAAATCATTAGCAAAAAGTAAAAAAATGGCATATTCTATGCATTGACACAAATCATTGATGAATAGATTCAATAATAATGCCGATAGATGTTCACCTTGTGGCACCCCTGAACAAGCCTTTATAGAAAAAGACACACAATTATTAATAGATACAATTTGAAATTTTTCAGATAGGTACATAACTTCCTAACCATTTAAGAAAAGTTCCAAATAGTCCATACAGTGACAATTTGCTCAATTTTTTTTTATGATCAACCTTATCAAAGGCCTTGGAGGAATCTGTGTAGTGTAGATTGCATCAACCTGACTGAGATGACCCTCTAAGGCCCTTGACAATCATTCACTATGTACTCCAGTAAGTTACTTATAGTGGATCTTGCACTAAAAAAACCATGCAGACTTTGATCAATGTGTGGTTCCAGTAGAGGAGTAATTTTATTAGTTACTAGTCTGCTCAACTATCTTACTGGATAAACATACTTACTTTTGATATTGCACGATAGTTTTCAATTTTATTTCTTGCCCCACTTTTAAAAGTAGGTTATCGTATTTTCACTGTTTTGTTTGCTACTTTTACTTAATAAAGATATTTGACTTCAATTTTATTTCTTAAAATTATCGATGTGAGGGAGCGAAAATAAAAAACATGTTGCTCGGTGCAAGCCAGACCAGAAAGGGGTTTATTAGATGAAGTATCTTTTGACAATGGTCATGCGCGATCTCGTGCGCAATATGTATTTAATAATGTTCATTTGATTTCAAGTTCAAATTCAAATATCACATCCTCCCTTTTTTGAAAATAGAATAATAGCACTACACAAAATATCAGTCTTTTCAAAATATCAGTCTTTTCACAATATCATTTAAAGTTGCTATCACAGATGTGTTCAATTACATAAAAGATGTTACAATTTCTGACTGGCACTCAGTTCTTTCTATATATACAAACTTAAGACCTAGCAGTCTCTAGATAAATACTTTAATTTTTTTTATTTTTTATAAATATACTAACACTTAACACTAAAGACACTAAGATTAAATTTATACACTAACAATTGAAACTTAACTTAAAAAAAAATACAAACTAATATCACAAGCTTAACCTAACTGGTGGTTTAACCAATCTCCCTGATCTTGTATTTCTCACTGGAGAATGTCTCGGCATCTCTCTTACAGGTGATTCCGGAGATGACAAGGAATTACTTGAAAGTGATTCACTCGAATTGCTGAATGAATGAAACCCATGAAAAGAAGAGGACATTGAGACACTCTCAGGAGTAGTATGTTGACTAGTACCTGGCATACTTAGATTCAACGTATCGTTCAAATTATCACTAGAAATACCATCATATTTAAATCTATCATAGCTTTCTGAATTATAGCTATTTTTATTAGACAAGTCTAAATTATTTTTTGGTAAATTATCTAAGTTTTCTCCTAATATTTCCCCTTTTTTTTTTTCAAATTGAAATTGAGATTTAATTATTTTTAAATGCTTTCTGTTTCTAGATACAATATTCCCTGTTTTTTCTAGTTTCACATTATATGATCTAGGACAATTATTTTTCCCTATTACTGTACCATTGAGCCATTTTTCTTTAGCTTTTAATTTAAAGTTTTGTACTTTAACCAATGTACCCGGCTTAATCTCATTTAATTCTTTACTGTGCTTATCATAATAATTTTTTTGTTTATTTTGCCTTTCAATTAATTTGTTTCGAACTGTGGGAATAGGCTGTGTTTTGGGTTTTAGCAAATTATCCATGACAGGAATCGTGGTTTTTAGCCTTCTACCGAAAATTAATTGAGCAGGACTCGGTAAATTTGGTCCTATTGGAGTATTTCTCAAATCCAAAAGTGCTAAATGAAAATCAGAACGTGATTCAGCACATTTTTTCATGGTGTTTTTGACAGTTTGCACAAATCTTTCAATTTGACCATTGCTTTGTGGATTATGTGCGCTAGTTGTAATATGTTTAAATTGCCAAGTTTTAACGAAATTCTGAAATTCTGATGATCTAAAACATGTACCATTATCTGAAATTAAAGACTCTGGAATTCCATGAACTGAAAATAGTTTTTTGAGTGATTTTATGACACTCACACTTTTGTCATTTGGGAGTTTTTGTACATCCACAAATTTCGAAAAATAATCCACCGTAATCAAGAAACTTTCATTATTAAAATAAAAAATATCGGTAGCAACCTCTTTCCACGGTCCAGATGGTACTTTGTGAGGTAACATTGGTTCTTTTTGGTTAAACTTGCTATTAGACAGACAAATATCACAGGATTCGACTAGATTTTCAATATCTGAGTTAATTGTAGGCCAAAATATCAACTGTTTTGCATTTAATTTGGTTTTCGTAATACCTAAATGTCCCACATGCAACCTAGACAACATTTCTCTTCTAAGTGATTTTGGAATGAAAATTCTATTATTTTTAAAAATCAAGTTTTTTGAATAAGTAAGCTCGTCTTTGTGAGGCCAATAAATTTTATATTCTTCACCTAACTTTTTTTTATTACTAGGAAAACCTTCTGTAATTAATTTAATTAGCCCTTGAAGATGACTATCTTTTAAGGTTTCCCTTCTCAAGTTTTCAAATTTTTCTTGACTGATCGGCAAGTTTTCAGTGACAAATAATAAATGATTATCAAATTCTAAGCATTTCCTTTCAAAAATTTCATCCACATCATTTTGAAATGCCCTACTCAGCGCGTCAGCTAAAAATAGCTGTTTTCCTGGTTTATATATTAATTTAAAAGAGTAAGGTTGTAACATCAATAACATACGTTGCAAACGTGCTGGTGCACTTATAATTGGTTTCTTTATAATGTTTACTAACGGTTTATGATCTGTTTCGATGGTTACATCGGAACGACCAAAAATATAATTGTGAAACTTTGTGCACGCATGACAAATTGACAGCAACTCTTTTTCTATTTGAGCATATCGCTGCTGAGTGGGAGTGAATGCTTTTGATGCATAAGAAACCGGTGCATCATTTTGTAACAGTACCGAACCACAACCATTTTGAGAGGAATCGCAAGACATTACTATAGGCAGTTTCCTAGAATAAAATTGTAAAATAGGAGCATTCATGAGTAGATTTTTTATTTTTTCAAAGGATTCTTCTTGACTCTCACCCCATTCAAATTTGACATTCTTTCTGATTAACATTCTGAGTGGTTCTGTTAATTCGGAAAAGTTTGGCACAAATCTATTTAAATAATTTAAAATTCCAAGTAAACGCTCTATATCTTTTGGACATTTAGGTTTTGACAGATTTTTGACAGCTTCAACTTTATTTTGATCGATTTCTAGACCTTTTTCTGATAAATTGAATCCCATGTATTTAACACTACTAACACAAAATTTACATTTATTTACATTAAAACGTACATTGAACTTTCTGGCTGTTTTAAAAACTTTCTCTAAAATGCTAAGATGTTCCTCCAAGGACTCGGAAAAAATTAATAAATCATCTATATATAATTCTAACCCCTCTATTCTTTCAAAAAGTTGCCTTAAACGTTTCATAAATACTTCAGATGCTGAGTTTATGCCATATGGCATCCTAGCAAAACAATATCTACCCCAAGGAGTATTAAATGTTGTTAGCCTGCTACTTTTTTTATTTAATTTAACTTGCCAAAAACCATTGCT